ACGGGCGCAACACTGAGGGTTGCGGTCCGTTGCCGGACACGAAAAAAGACAAAAAGGAAAAAAAAAAAAAAAAAAAAAAAAAAAGAAACAAGTGGTAAGTACAGATGAAATTTCTTAAGTTCTAAGTTTTCTTCCCAGGTTTCAGGTCTCTTCCTCACAATCAACATCTAAGAGGCGAGTTTCTGCCCCAACCAGCAGGTCTGCATGATGCCATAACAGCTTACCTCTGCCTGCTTAGCACTTACTCACCTAGGCTCCATCTCCTTTTCTCATCTTTCACAACCATCCAGGGCTCTTTCCCTTGTTCCAATAGGGTAATCACGTCTGGCTTAGAAATGGAACATCCTGCTTGAAAGAAAATAAGAGAGCATAATAAAGAAAGAATTCATTTGATCAAGACTTTAGAACAAAGAAGGCTATCAGGACTGAAAAATATTCATATCAGAGTTACTTTGGGATCACAAGGAGAAACAAGAACAGAGAAGTAGGGACATGATCTTATTTTAATTTAAACTCATACAGGCCCTGTCTCTTGAGAGGAAGTAATAGTTGAGAGCACTGATTTCAAATCCTGCTTCTGTCACATGGGTCACTAGGGCAAATAATTTAATCTCTCTGCCTCAGTTTTCTCAGTTGTAAAAAGGGATAATAGTAATCTGTATACATAGGATTGCTGTGAGGTTTGACTTCATGTAAGTGTTTAGATGATTGCCTCCTATAAAATAAGCACCATCTATGTTAATTAGGCACTGTTTTGCTATTTTTCCATATTATTTTACTAAGAGGAAAATAATAAGTTTTTTGTCAGGATATTCATCCAATGTTCAGTGCAAAGTTCATGTATTTATAATTTTTAATCACAAAGCAGTTGAAATATATCTGTTGCAGGAAACTAAATATGTTCACTTGAGTTTTAACAAATGTTGGTTCAACCCAGCATCATATACATTGTACCAGCTCTTTTAATAGGTATGTAGAATCAGACACCTCTGTTTTCCTCTTCTCATTGCAGGTGAGTCCATGCATAATATGAAGCCAGATTTCTTTGACAATGTTTTAGCTGTGAATGCCTAAGAATTTATATCCAGTTGTCATTAAAGAGATGTAATAACAGAAAAGACAAACGAAGGTCACTGAATTATGGAGGAAGATGAAAGCTTAATAGAAGTGCCTATTCCTGAACCACAAAGTAGATATTCAACTAGTTTTAAAAAAGACTCTGAAATTCAGTCCCATGAATTTCTAAATTATTTGATACAGATAAGCTTACCCAGTGATACCAAGTTGCTATAGTTCTCTAATATCACATCCCTGTACAAATTCCTCTGATATGAGTTCAGACATTCCCACTCTTCTTGAGAAAAGTCTACAGCCACATCTCTGAACATCACCAAATCCTGAAATGAGAAACCCACATATTATTTGTAAGATTAAAGAAAGTATTTTGAAAATGGAAGAAGGATCTCAATGATATATGCTCATTTCATATACCAAATAAATAGGCTAGGGCTGGATGCCTATGATGTATTTAGGTGGCAGTGAGGAAATGAGTGTGACTGAAGCAGAACATCTACATGTTCTTGAAGATTTCTATTAATGTAGACCAGGCGTTGGCAAACATTTTCTATAAAGGGCCAATATTTTAGGCTTTGCATGCCATGTACAGTCTCTGTTGCATATTCTTTTTTCTCTTAACAATTCTTTCAAAATGTAGCTTGTAGGCTGTTCAAAAACAGACCATGGACCAAATTTGGCTCACCAAATTTGTCATATTTGTAGTTTGCCCACCACTTGCTATAGCCAAAACTTCATATGTAGTATGGGATACCTAATTGTATTTATTTACTGACATGTTTAGGTAATTACCAGAATTTCCCAATTAACTGAAATAAATTCATGAGAATACTGCTTGCAAAGTCCCCCAAACCTTCTCAATAAATGTGATTTACTCTATCTTCTTTTTCTTTAAGGACTAGAAAAAAATAATTAGTGGAATTTTTTTCCCCAAAATGAACTGCAAAATCTCTACTTTTAAAAAGTAGAGTATGCATTAAATTAAAGAATCTCTTCCAGACCTAACTTTACTATTACATTGCAGGATTAGTATTTTTCCTTAATATAACAAATCCTTTTTGAATATTTTCAATTCACTACACAATAATCCATTTTATGGATAAGTTAGACTTCATAATGATTACATTTAGATATTTCTATATGTTTAAATAGATTAAATTATATTTAGAATTTACATTACATAAAGTCTATAAAGCTGCAATGCCCAATATGCTAGCTTAGTAACATGGTTGTTGAACATCTGAATTGTGGCTAGTCCAAATTCATATGTGCTATTAAGTGCAAACTATATATCAGATAGCAAAGACTTTGGGAAAAAAAAGAATGTAAAATATCTCAATGATTTTTATATTAATTAAACTTTGAAATGATAATATTTTGATTATACTGGGTTCAATAAAACATATTAAAATTAATTACACCTGTTTTTACTTTTTTTTAATGTGACTACTAAAATATTTAAGATTATATATGTGCTTTGCATATTATTCTATACTTTTAAAATGTGACTACTAGAAAATTTAATATTACATATCTACCTCACATTATAATTCTTTTGGACAGTGCTATTCTAAGGTATTCTCTGGTCTTAAGAGTCTCAGATCAAACACCTCTCTCTAGGGACTTCACTTCATTTCCATCTCTGCTCTAGACAAAGACCAAACATACAGGAGCTACTGAATGATTTGGTCAATGTACATGTGACACGAATAGAGAAGAGAGAGGCACACAGGAGGGGCCTGGCTGCCTGGCTCCATCCCTCACTGGAATGGGACAGGCTGGAGAGCAGCTATTGGATGGAGCTCTGTTGGGACTTTTCAGAATAACAAATGAGAATGTTCACGAAACCTAAAAAAAAATTGACAGAGTTTCAAACAGAGAGAAACACCAACTTACATGAGCCATGATTTTGGAACTGTAAGAACTGGTCAGTTTTCCTCAAGGTTCATTTACTGGAGAAGCAGAGTCCACAGAAGCCAGAACTAGGGCAAGAATGCAGAGCCATGAGAACAGAATTACTGTCTCAGACCTTCCAAATTCTAAACACCTTTACTACTTCTCCATTCCTACACGCAAGCCCCGCCCCCAACACACAGACAAGTTCTGAGAGGTAAGAGGTAGTTTAGACAAATATTACTAAATATGAGATATCATCATGTGGTTTTCCCCAAAACCAAAGGGAAATCAGCTGCACAAGGAATAGACACAGAATTACTGTCTCAGACCTTCCAAATTCTAAACACCTTTACTACTTCTCCATTCCTACAAGCAAGCCCCGCCCCCAACACACAGACAAGTTCTGAGAGGTAAGAGGTAGTTTAGACAAATATTACTAAATATGAGATATCATCATGTGGTTTTTCCCAAAACCAAAGGGAAATCAGCTGCACAAGGAATAGATGCAAAGCAGAGACTCTCCTGCATGGAAGTACATGCCCAGACACTTCCGCAGGAGGGCTTCCAGTTAGTCCCTGCCACCTACCCCAGGGAGGCTGATCTGGACCTGAGAATTGACTGCACAGACCTGTCCTGAGCAGGTCCTTGTAGCTCCATTCCCACCTTCCCAGCTGAGAAGGGGCTACACCGTCTAAACCAGAACTTCCTTCATAGATTTACGAATCTGGCTGGCCTCCTACAACATGAAGACAGAAAACAGCATAGACAAGAATTTCCCAACTATTGCTAAAATTGTAATCACCTAGAGGATCTTTTAAAAATACACTGATGCCTGGCTCCCACCCCCAAACATTCTGATTTAATTAGTACAGGCATTTTGATTTAATTAGTACAGGGTGTGACTTGTGAATCAGAATTTTTAAGACCTCAGGTTTTTATAACATCTCCCTTGGGTGATAATAATAGGCAGCAAAGTCGGGGGAATCAAACTTTAGTATGCATCAGAATTACCAGGAGGGCTTGTTAAAACACAGATTGCCAGGCCCCACTCTTAGATTTTGGTATTCAGTAGGTATGGGGTTGGGGTTGAGAATTTGCATTTCTAAAAAGTTCCCAGGTGATGCTGATGCTGCAGGTCCAGATGCCACACTTTGAGAACCACCTGTATAGACAATGCCTAGCAGCCTTTACCAAGGCAAAACTGCAGTTGCACATGGGGATCCCTTACTCCAGGCTTACCTCCCATTCCTAGAATCCTCAGAGCTCACCACTCACTCCTTTCCTATTCAGCATCCCCGATACTGCCTGCATGATATCAATCACCACTCAGTCTCTCTTGTTACCCAGACTGGGGAGAAGTGAATTTTTGAAATCTGAGTGTGAATAGTTCTCTAGAAAGTAGAAATAACCCAACAATTCATTAGTTTAAACCCACCAGTAAGTAAGGAGAGGGATATTAAAGGAATTGAACTAGCAGATTTGAAAAACTGATGATACCTTATATTTACTAAGGTTTTAGGGAAATGGATACTCAGTGGTATGATACAGAAAGAATGAAATGATGTGTGGGTAGAAAGTGTCTGTAACAGGATGAAAAAAGCTGGAAAGAACCTAAATATCCTCCAACAATATCAAATAAATTATTATGCATTCACACAATGATAAACTAAACCATTAAAAATGAAAGTAAAATTCTTATTTGATGTCATGGAAAGATGGTAACCACATATTGTTGGGAAAAGATGACAGGTTGGAACATAGTATTGTAATGTGATTGTATTTTGACAGGAAAACTACATATATATGCATACATGTATATACATAAAATAATCTATAAATTGAAATAAAATTTCATGTTACCTCTACTTGATGGTATCCCAGGTAATCTTTATTTTGTTCTTCTCTGGAGTCTCTGAATTATTTAATTAGAAATTTAAAATTTTGTATCACTTATATGTGGGACATAAATTAAAAACAGCTGTGCGAAGAGTATTTCAAAATGCCCCAACAGTTCCATCCCTGCTACCCTGCCCCCATCTTACAAATCTAGAGGCAACAATTTTCACCTCTTTCGGCATTTAAACTCCATACATTTAAAAAACATGCTAATATTGCTACTTTTGGGGGGGCCCGGGGTGGGGGGCAGCTGGCCAATACATGGATTGAACCAGGGGCCTTGGTGTTATCAGCACCACGCTCTAACCAGCTGAGCTAACCAGCCAGCTCTACAGCTACTTCTGAATCTTCAGTTTTAATTATTATCTGTTCACTTCCTGCTATGAAGGAAGTGAACTCCCTCCCCACATATGTATCGTTGCAGTCCCTTTATCCTTCCAATATGGTTTTATTCTATAACAAATATTCAGATGAATTTTCTTAAATGAATATTAGGCTTATATAATTGTAACCACATAAACACCATTACCAACTGAGCTATGTAGTAAACTCAGATTATTTGACCTTCCTTGCACAAGTCTTTTTCTTCTCTGAGATTGAAATAATCTTGTTTTTTCTAAGCCAAGTTTTCTAGGAAATTATTAATTCATTTCCCAAACTCTTACTCAATTGAACAATGAAGCTCCTAGCATAAAATAGCAGAGCTATATATTTCACCGGGCCGGCCCGCCATTGATAATTTTAATTCTCTTCTTTATAGGTTCTTTAGTTACTAAATATTTCACAAGCCTGCACGAATTCTATCATCAGAAATATATGAAAAAGCTATTCCCACTTAAAAAAATTTTTTTAATGAGTGGGAGGATAGTCATTAAATAAAATTGTAATTAAATAGGCCTACATTAATGGTGACAAGAGAAATCAGTGTGACTAAAAAAATAGTTCCTATGAGTTCCTGAACACTGTACCCTTCAACACCCTGAGATCCTTCTGTGAAGAATCACTATCCTGGTTCATGGCATTTCCAAAGTGATTAGCAGACAAAAACAAATGCTTATTTCACAGCAGCTGCTTAAATTTCAGCATACCCCTCCTTGGTTCCAATGAATAACCAATTATTAAATACTTGCATTTTAAATATTAAATTATTGCACAGTAGACAAAAACAAATGCTTATTTCACAGCAGCTGCTTAGATTTCAGCATACCCCTCCTTAGTTCCAATGAATAACCAATTATTAAATACTTGCATTTTAAATATTAAATTATTTCAAAATATCTTATAAACCTTTATTAAAGAAACATAGATTCATATGCAACTTCACAATTTTTTTTCTTTTTTCTTTTTTTTTTTTTACCGGTAAGGGGATCGCAACCCTCCACACGGTGTGGTCTGCACCACGCTCAGCCAGTGAGCGCACCAGCCATCCCTATAGGATCCGAACCCGCGGCCTCCCCGCGCTACCAGCGCCGCACTTTCCCGAGTGAGCCACGGAGCCAGCCCACAACTTCACAATTTTTTGAAGATTCTTATCCACAATAAATACTTCTCAATATTACATTACACACTTTTTAAATAAGTGAGTATAATTTTTATTATTGAGAAACATTCCACTACAGGGAGGAGTGTGATTTAACCGTTTCTATATTGCTGGATACTGATTTTGTAAAAGAATAACCCCCAAAATCACCCCTAGCTATTCCAGACTTTGATTCTAAACCAGTGATAATCAATTTTGCTGGCGCTTGTACAACTTTGATAATATCATTAAAATCCTTCCCCCTCCTCCAAATTAAGCATTTACAAATATATACAACAATTCTGTATATAATCTTAAAACATTTGTGTTGCAGCTGAAAACCCATAAACAGAGTCCAAAGACTTCATGTTCAAGTCCTTGTTCTGGTCCACTTGAGCATTTTCCTGCTTGCAAGCATCCCTCATAATTAACTTCACATTTTCACTGCCCTCGAGAATAAAGAAAGCTAATAGGGAATGACAAAGCAGCATCATTTAACAGCAATAGCTAACATTAAGGACACACTATGTGCCAGGCACTTTTCTAAGAGATTTACAGATATTAACTCATGGAATCCTCAAAACAACCTCAAGAAGTATAAATAAGGGTACTTCAAAAAGTTCATGGAAAGAATCGCATTACTTTTTAAATTCTATTTTTCCACGAACTTTTTGAAGTACCCCCCTCCACTACAATTCTGACTTTACACATGAGGAAACTGCGGCACAGAGAGACTGCCCAAACTCAAGTCAGATTTAAGTGGCAATCAGGATTCAGATCCTCTTTAACAAGGTTCAAAATTCTTAACCACTACAGTACACCTCTCTCAGTCTATCCAAAGATACACTCCAAACAAATTCATGATGCCAAACTCAAACCACATCTGGATGGTAACAAAAATCTCCACTCACAGATTCCCGGGGGGGGGGGTAATTCCCACTCCCACTCCGGAATCATCAAGGATATTAAACGCTAAAGTATTCCTCAACAAATCACAGTCAAAACCAAAGCCTGAACATTAACCTCCAGCAAGGGTATTTCCATATCATCAGAATCCTTAGAGTGCACAGAACAACTAAAATGTGCTCAAAGAGTGCTCACAGTGCTCAAAGAACACACGATTAACTAACTGTAGAACTGCATAAAGAGGGCACTAGACAGGGGAATCTATTAGTTAGTTCCCCTGCCATTAACTAGGTCGGGAAATCCTAGGCCCAAATCAATTAATAGATCGTTCCTAGGCAGGGCTTTTCAAGAGAAGGAAATCAAATGATCCCGTGTCCTGACAATCAAGCGCATTTCACAGAAACAAAGCAGCAGCACAAACTCACACGGAACCTGGCCTTTGGAGAAGCAGCAGAGATTCCTTTCACCCTCTCAAGTGCCTTCTCCGGAAACTGGCAGGGCTGGGGAAGCAGGCAGAGTTCGTGACACCCCAGGCTTTTCTTGACTAGGTCAGAACCCACCCTCCACGCTTCCCCGGGCCCCGGCTGACTCCCACCTGCATGCACGAATGGAAACGAGAGGGAGAAGAGAGAAGGTCCGCAGTCACCCATTTCTGGGTTCGCAGCTCTGGGTACACTGTAGTTCGGACACCCAGGCTGCCCACCCCGCCTTCTTCGGAACTGTTCAGCGGGTCCTCCCGGCCCCCAGAGGCTCGCCCCGAATCTAGATCCCAGCGTTTTGCAGGGGACCCTCATTCTAGGGCTCCACCTCCGACTTCCCCTCGGGCCCTTCCTCTACAGCCGGGCCTAAGGTGGCTGAAGCGGGACCGAGGTGCGCGGGCCCCCGGGTATCGAATTGCACGATAGGCCGCACCCACAAACCGGGCCCTGCACCGTTACTGCAGGACCTCGCTCCCGGGGAAACCCTTTCCCCACCCCCGGTCCTGTCTGCAGAGCTTGACCCGTCTCGGGCTCGTTTCCCCCAGCAAAGCAGCGGCCACGCCCGAGCCCAGCTCTCCGCGCTCAGGCCTCACCCGAGTCAGACGATCGCCAAGCCCTACGGTGCGCGGCGCCGGGATTCCGGAGAGTGCCCGCCTCGGTCGGGAGTGCGCAGGCGCGCGGGGGCGGGGGCAGATCCTGCGTCCAACCGGTGACCCCGTGAGTGACCGGCTCTATTCAGGGGACTCCAGGCCTGCTCCCCTGTGGAACTGCAGTCCAGTATCAGAAAAGCCAGATATTCCGGACGTTTTCATGTGGCTTCTGGCCCCGCGCCCCGCGGAGGCTGCGAGCGCCGCCCCGCCCCCCAGCTGGAAGTTATCGTTTCTGTCTGGAGTGCGCAAGCGCGCGGGGGAAGCAGGGCTCAGGAGGGTCGTGCGGCGGTGGGCGCCGAGGGTCGGGGAGACTGGAGGGAGCAGGGGGAGGCTGGCGCCAGGATCCCGGGTTGGGCCAGTGGCCAAAGCCTTAGGCATGGAATTGTGACCCTGGCGGTAACTCGGCCGAGGAAACCCCAGTGCCGCGAGCATGGGCCACCGGGGCGCTTGTGCCTTGTGGCGTTTCAAATTGCACGATAGTAATTCGTGCCTGGGAGCCCCGGATGCCGCAGCCAGTGTGTGACCGCGGACGGGATTATGTTCTCATGCATGAGTCTGTTGTGCGGCGGCGGGCGCCGAGGGTCGGGGAGACTGGAGGGAGCAGGGGGAGGCTGGCGCCAGGATCCCGGGTTGGGCCAGTGGCCAAAGCCTTAGGCATGGAATTGTGACCCTGGCGGTAACTCGGCCGAGGAAACCCCAGTGCCGCGAGCATGGGCCACCGGGGCGCTTGTGCCTTGTGGCGTTTCAAATTGCACGATAGTAATTCGTGCCTGGGAGCCCCGGATGCCGCAGCCAGTGTGTGACCGCGGACGGGATTATGTTCTCATGCATGAGTCTGTTTCCTGCGCGTGTGCCATTCTTTGGACGACAGACTGAGGCGGTATCACAGAGAAAGTTGCGCGACGGTGCCCGACTGGGACGCCGCTGTAGAGGCCTCTGCGGTCTGTCTGTACAGTGCCTGAGGTTGCGTCTGTCTGTCAGCGTGGCTGTGTCCCATCTTGTGGTATTTCTGGGATGGTTTTGATAGGCCAGCGCTTCTGGTACTTGTTTTCCGTGGGGACCGTGTGGGTCGCTATGAAACTGAGTGCTGGGATTTTGATTATCCGCTTCTGGCCGTTAAGTGCACTCTCGGGACTGTAGTGCTGTGCCGGGTAGGCAAATAAAATAATTCCAGAAACAAAAAACAGTGGGAAGGAGCAGGCGAAATCGTCATGTCCAAGTGATGAGACCGTAGGAATGTATAATTAAAAATTCGAAATGACTAGCACTCCATCAAACAACAGGGAGGGGCACTTTATTTTCTCCCATAACTGCTCCTGCAATATTCCTCTGCGAGTGAGGGTTTTCCCCCTTGCTCCTAGGTGAAATCTTGTACGAATTCAATAACGTCTTCAAGCATTCTTAAAGAGCAAAAGTTTCTTTAAGCACTTTTTAAAAAAAGATCAGTCTCATTTTAGTAGTTAAAATACCTTTAGTTATTAAAATGATCAGTATAATCAATACTTCATTTAAAACAAAAACAAAAAACTGCAGTGTTTCAAGACTTAGAAAATGAGGACACTATTCAAGACATTGTCTTGAAACATTGGAGACATTCAAAAAAATGTCTTCTTTCTCCTGGACCACCTCCAAATACGACTATATCTAAATTATATATTGGTTAAGTGAATATGTGGCATTTATATACTAATTATGCAAATTATTTTCGATTTGAAATCAAGTGCATTTCTTTTTTTACATAGGTGTTTGTTTATCAAGGATTTAACTGGTT